GGTAAAACAGAAAGATTATATATGGATAGTTGGCTATTACATGTTCTAAAAACCCGAAACCCGATTAGGGTTTCGGGTTTTCAGCGTTTGGCTCTATGTCCGATACTTATGACAGTAAATAGTTGGAGTTTGAAATCCAAAGAACCCCATTCACACTCTAGAGTGTGGAGTAAGGATGCAAAAGATTATAGTGATAATTGCCAATATGGAAAATACAAGCTATAAAGACATCCAAGTCATATAACCGTTTGTTAAGATATATGCGCGAGCTCATAAATCTTAATAAATATAATCATAAAATTGTACTAAATTTCATGCACATTTGACGAAAATGCTTGATGTGAAACATTGGGCTCTCTAGTGTTTAATGATATCAACTACCATGACTATTTAACAACATACAATGCCGCTGAAAACATAAAATGACTTCATTTTATCAAGCAGATAGTAATTAAATGAAAATAAGGTAATCAAACATGTGCAAATGAACTTATTTCTTTACCGGTAGAATCGGTTGTTTCAGACGTTCACGTCATTTTTGTTGCACGTTTATATGAAACTTCTTTATGCCGCCAGTTACCATTTATATTAGAGTCTTCACTACAGTTCCAGGGATAGAATGACATGTGGAGGTGTAAGAATGACGATTTCAACTACTACTGCGGATCTCAACCAAAAATAAAATAAAATGTTGAGGCGTTGAAGACTTTTTTTTCCTTTCATACCAATGCTTTTTCGTGCGAAAGCCACGTAGCAGTCTGTCAAACAGAACAAAAATAACGTGTAGTAATCTCAAATATATGATCCATTGAATGAACCAAAAGAACCAAAATCTGAAACACACGCAGGTCCAGGTCGAGGTAGTGCTTCTTCTAGCTATCCATTGAAGAAGTATGGACAAGTGCATCGTTTGATATGGATCAATCATGTGGTCGTTTGGGGCTCAAAATGGGTTTAAAGCCCAACTGCCCGACACCTTGTGTAAACATTTAATCTGCTAGATGTTAGTTACACCGAGTATCTAGCTGTCGCAGAAGATGCTGATTTCGTTTCTATGGTGGTGCTCCGGCAAGGGGGCGTCCCAAAGATTGGTTGATGCCGCTTTTGTGTCCCGCACACGGTATTCTCCAGTAAAAGGCGAAAGAATATTTCGCTTTGGGCTGAACACGCGGTCGATGTAAGGTCAAGTGCCTATCAGACCATATGAATTCCTTGAGATATTATCCAAACCATTGCGAATTAGCTCTAGTCAATTAAGAAGCTGCTGGAGAAGATGAACATAATGAAATGCTTACCTCCTTAAATTCCTTTGCAATCAATCTTAAAGTTTGATTGACTAGTCCACGACTAAGAAGATAAATTTAAGCAATTGCTAATTGATTTGATTTTGATGATTGATTGAAGAATGATTTGTCAAATAGTACATTCGGCTGATCAGTACGTTGGACAACAATAGCCCGACGTGATTGACACCTGTAAACTCACATTGTCACCTCAAAAAGCACTTAGCGTTTCAATCTCTTGGAAGCGATACTAAATTCTTATGTACTTGATTGGCATAACTTTGACTTACCTTCTGGTCCCAATGTTACTGCTGCCGTGTTTACTCACATACTCACATACTCACAGTGATGGAAATCCGATAACTGCAAGAAGAAATGTAAACTTTAACTAAAGCAGAGGCTACGTCCCGTAAAATCTGACGCATCCACTCGTTTGCAGTAGTGGGCCAACATGTGCTCTCAGCACTGGTTGCTGGGTAGCGATTGTTTAGCACAAATGATGGGATGTCACTGTGACATGGGGAACAAACAGGCGAGATACGTAGAGGGCGTTGGGTCTGAAAGCGAGTGGATCGCCAAACTGCTGTCTATTGTGAGGGTAACAAGTATTCACGATTATTCATCTGACTGTCTCTTGTATTCTCATGCCATTGGCTGTTGGTGCCAGGCCGATACACCTGTGAGTAAGCTCGGGGTTTGAAAGTCCACGACATCCGAGGGCCTGGAGGTCGCATTCTGGTAGCTTACCATGTTCGCCCAATTCACCTGCTCACGTGACCACTCTTGCAGTCGCAATCTTTCATGTTGCCTGGAAACCACGAGTGCGGCAGCCTGGGCTGCAGTATGTTTTCCTTCCCAGCATGGCTAATGCTGGACGAGGGAGATACCGAGTCCGTCGAGATTGACTTCATTCAATCACAATGGCCATGTACGCGGGCATCATTCGACATCTCAATTTCTGCTTTCTATTGTTCTCTTCATGGCTGTGGGTAATTCTGGCCCTGAGGTCTAGAATTCACACTAATTTGTAACTTGCCCAAGATTGACTGAGTCAAATCTTACCACCCGTTTTGATGGATAAGCAGTGCACTAAAACCCACAGATATGATCTCTGATTTGCACATGAAATGGGCATGTTGACATGTTCGTGGCATATAGTGGTCTGTACCTCTTGGCCGCAAGGATTGCATCAAGTGTGGCTTGTCTTGTCGACGCCAAATCTAGTGTACCCTTTGCATCCCATTTGTACCCGTGCAGGTTGGCACATGATTGGCTAGGCTCACTGTGCCGTGCTGTGCCCAGTCCTCGTCTTTACAACTTCGAAGCTCTGCCCGGAGACAACGATCCATCAGATGGGATCCATCACTGAATACCAAATTTTCCAACTTCCTCGGAACCCCGTGCCCTCCAGACGAGCCTTCAACCTTGTTGGACAAATGGATGCCATCAACCGCACATTCTACAAGCGAATCCAAGCCCTGAAGACCGCCGAAGGACTAATCTACTAATGTGCCGCCCTCATCACCAACTCTTTCGGTCGCAGGGTCGTCAACATCGCAGTTGTCAGAAGGACTCGCGAAACCCGATGTTGAGAATGGGCAAGATTGGAGTGCTGACTGCATATGCAAAAGAGATCAGCCCGGAGCGATATGTTCTCAGAGGTAGCAATTACCCATTCAGCAGAAGCAGGGTGAAGCTTGACGGGATGCAGCGTACCCGCGAGAGACGTTTGCATATATAATAAGTTTGCAGGTAATACTACATGCAAGTTCAGATCTGCGATCTATTCAAACCATGAGAACTGGAATGGTTCAACACTAAAACCTGAGCAGAACTTCAATCTAGATTTACGACAATCGTATCCAGAAAATGACTGGTCTGCATTATGGGCACCATTCCGTTGGATTTGAATGACATTACTGAACATTGAAATCTTCGAAGTTTTTTCGAGCATCAGGTTCACAGTTCCTTGTTAGATGTATGTGCTTAAAACTATACTTCTCACACACTATTTCATAACCCACCACTAACCATATAATCAAAATCAGACCAGTCTTTGCTGTTAGCAAATACATACAGAAGCAAATGTTCCCCGTTTGTAGTGTATTTATAAAAGTTATTCCAGCTAAGGTGACTTTGAAAGTGTATCCTCTTAATCTCACGAAACCCTAGTTTGAAATATTCGAACGATTAATAAGCATGATACCTGGGTAAAACTCATTCAGAAATTATTCACAGGACTAGTTTGAGTATTGTCACACTTTTGTGACGCTATTGACACCAAAAAACTAATTTTTCACGGCATATTGTATTCCCCTGGGTGAACTTCAAATCATCAAAGATTCAACTATATTTCCAACTTCTGCCCTTTGTAGAAATAGCTTATAGGCCACATTAAAAGCACTTGGGATGAAGTTATGCGCTGCTTATTCACTTTGATGATATAATTGTGAGGTTCTTGGTCCAAACTTTCACGGGACGTAAGCAGATCTGGGCAAAAGATGGCAGCACTCCAGAAAGGAACTTGGACCATCTCTTACAAACACGGTTTTGAGATGGCTTATCAAAATCTTTTCGTGAGCGCGTGTCCCAGATGGAATTGCTACTAAATAGCTCATGAGGGATGTATCACTATTTTCGGAGAATCTTATAAGTACGAGATGTTTTTCATTTGCAACATGCTATCTACCGTAGGCAAAGAATCTCCTGAACATCTTTTCTTTACGAACCTGCATTTAAATGCTTGATTTCTTATCGCATCCAGATTGCTTGAAAGCACTGATGTATGCCTAAATACTTTGATCTAATGGAGGAAACTGGAAAGAAGATCAGCAACCAGATCGCGGGTGTATTTCAGCCTGAAGAAGGCATGATCAACCCTGGAACATGATTGGACTTGGTCTGTAGCAGCATTCACATATGATGAATCATGAAAAAGTCCGAAAGTTCAATACTAATTGGCAGGTTTCCTTCAAGACTTTCGTAAGCAGTTTGTTGTGGCAGTGACAAGCACTATTAACATAATCATATTATCTTCCTCTTTTCGCATGCGGCCAAAGGTCCGTGACCAGATACTGTCAATTTTTGTGGTATGATTGGCATCCATCTATCTTTGGTAGATTCAGTGCTAGACGTGATAGACATACCGTACCCGGTCTCAACCCAGCCAAGGCCAGGACATGTAAGAAACAATAGTATTCTTCAGATACCTATCCTAATTCCTGAAGAACGAAGTTCAAGTGGGGATGAAGAGCTTTAGCGTTTTTCCTGAGAAACAGCTCTCTTGGTCTGCTCGCGGTCCTGTATATGCACGAAAAGCCCACTTCAGGGTCTCGACTGGTAGTTACAATGTCCTGCTACCTCGCAGAGGACTCTGAAGACGTTTAACTCCTGCAGCAGCGACCCGTTATCACTATTCACCATCCATGAACATGAAGCATGGGGCAAGCAGTAAGCCTCCCAGGGGAATAATATTAATTTTGGACCTAGAAGATACCGATTCAGCTCAACCGAACTTTAGTGGATCACAAAGACTTTCTTGACCCGTTGCAACGCTACTTGACAACGAATGCACCCACGTTTGATAGTGCTGGCAACTGTAACTATTATCGCCAACTCCAATTGTGAAGATAGTAACATCAACTTTCTGGTAAGAACCGAGAGTAGACTCGTTCTGGAGGATGATTTCGATCATTTTGTTTCAGATCTTACAAAGATTTGAAAACGTTCAAGTTTTCGGACAGTTAACTTGGAGATGTAATGTACTATTAGTCATACATGTAGCTCATTCTGTCGCACAACTGCACAGTATCGGCTGCAGCTGGTACCATGCTGTTCAGACAGCAAGGCAGCCTGCCAAAGATTGATCCAAATACCTCTAATCTTCGAACTCTAGTTTCAAACTTCCCAGGAGACAACGCTGAAAGGCCCTGGAAGTATAAAATGTGGCTGTTTGAAGACACAAAGCACAAGCGAAGTATCTAGTCAAGGTGGTCGGGTGGACTTCATCAGGTCAGTATGTCTCAGTCATCAAAATTTCTCGATGCTTGCAATTGTCTTCAAAGTCTATGTCAAGTATGCCTCAGGCAGGTATTAGCGTCTACCTCTTAATAGAGACTCTAGTTAGAAAGCCATCATGACTTCGGAATGAGAGCAAAAAATTGTTACAGTTTCATGTCAATGCTTCCTGCTCTTCTAACTCAGTCAAGCTAGGCTAAGCTAGAGCTATTGCTCTCTCCTGTGTAAGACAGTACTTCTCGAGTCATGCTTCAGGCAAAAAATCTGAGTTTCATTGGAACTATCTCTGACGGTGTGACGGTCCCGTAGAATTGAAATTTAGATGCTCGAAGCTTCTTGAGAAAGTAAACCATCCATCTTTACCTTGTTGCAATGAGTAGATACGGAGTTATGGTCTACAGATTAGATGCGCTTGAACAAGTTCAGAAGATCATAGTCCCATGCTCATTCAGACCGCACCTCATATAATATTAAAGTATTCAGAGTGGAATTTGGATGAAACTGAAACTATTATAGACTAGAACCATAAAGAAGATGATGTTATCTAAAAGTCGTTGTGTGTGACATTCTTTGCAGACGGTGAAATCTGAGAAGCATCCGATCCAGCTTTTCCCTAGTGGATACTTCACTGTATTGCAAGAGGGATCAAGATCAAAAACGAAGAACACATTAATTCCTAAACAGAAGCTAACGCCGTTCAAACATGGCGGTAGTGGGTTTGAGATGTCAGGTCATCCTCTTTGCACTTCTGATCATGGCGTCTGTCGCCTACGGGGCTAAGCTCTCAAAATCGCACTACTATATAACGTGCCCAAAATTGGAAACCGTTGTACGTAACAAGGTTAACGAGATAGTGAATGCCGATTTGGGAATGGCTCCAGGCTTACTTCGCCTGCATTTCCACGACTGCTTCGTCAGGGTAAGCTGTTTGTGTTTATCGGTCGCTCTCAACATTTATCAGAAAGTATCTGGGTGACGGAATATTCGGAGGTAGACAGAAGTTTGAAGTGCAGGTCCAGATAGGGGTTGATCTTTGACATTATTGATTGTGAATGCATGCATCAGCAACTAGACTTCTCCTACTTAACACTGATCTCAAAGTAATTGCGGAAATGATCAGGGCTGCGATGGATCAGTGCTTCTGAATTCCTCCTCCAACTCAGCAGAGATGGATGCACCACCAAACGCTGGATCCCTCAGAGGGTTCGCCGAAGTTGACTCAATCAAAGCCGAAGTTGAAAAAGCCTGCCCCGGAGTAGTTTCATGCGCGGATATCCTGGCTTTGGCAGCCCGCGATGCCGTAGTGAAGGTCCTTCCTTTCGATCTTTAATATATTCTATTTTCTGGCATGCACGTCTTTTAGTAATTTATTTCAATATCTGGTCTGTCCATGACATTATATGGACGACTTAGATATTGAACTTCTTATGAAACATAGCTACTATTTGATTTTCACTTCCATATATTGTATGCTGCTCAATAAGCGTTTTCCTATCAGGTGTGATTGAACAGCATTAATATTTAACACATGACTAAAAATTTTTGTGCAATTTTTGAACAGGTTGGAGGCAAATATTGGTCTGTACCTCTTGGCCGCAAGGATGGTTTCATCTCTTCCCTGGTTGAAGCCAATTCTAGCCTCCCGTCTCCATTCATGACGTTTGCTCAGCTTGTAGAGAATTTTGCTGCTGTGGGCCTCAACGCGAAGGATATGGTTTTTCTTTCAGGTATTTAATCATCGAGCAAGATGCCAGAAACAATTCATGTGGTAGATCTTCTGCCACCGAAAAGTCGAAATGTTTTTCAGTTGCACATTGAAAGTTAAGAGATATGACGGTGACCGCTGGCCCACTCATCTATATGCGATGCATTTGTCTCGTTGCAGGAGGGCATACAATCGGTCAGGCTCATTGCGCTGTCGTGATCCCTCGCCTGTACAACTTCAGCGGTGTGCCCGGAGCCACCGATCCATCACTCGACCCCACATTTGCCGACATGCTCAGAACCCTGTGCCCGTCAGACGAGCCTTTGACCTTCGTTGGGCAAATGGATGCCACTAATGGCACATTCGACAACGAATACTTCACAGACGTAAAAAGTCAGAGGGGACTCTTCTCATCGGACGCTGCGCTCCTGACCAGCCCTCTTGGTCGCAGAATTGTGAGAGAATCAGCTGCATACCCTGGCAGTTTCTTGAGAGAATTCGGAAAGTCCATGGTGAAAATGGGCAACATTGACGTGCTGACTGGATCTGCGGGAGAGATCAGGCGAGTATGCTCCGCTGTCAACAACAATGGAAATTACTGATTCATCAGATGCAGAGTAGGGTTTACGAGAACTTCCAAATAGATGCAGGATGCCTGAGACAGGCATGTGCGGATAACATCAACTTTCATAAAATGCATCCCAACCATTGAAACTCGGTGAGGTCAATAAGTGTAGATAGAAGCTACGCATGAGCTTAAACCTGAGAACTACCTAGGAAGTACGAAATCGAAACCTGTCCTTTTGATCTGATTTGTCTACATTCTTTGTTCATAGCATCAAATTCTAGCTGAGGATATCCAAATAAAACTCGTTGCAGTTTTTGTAACATGTACAGTTCAGAGGTAATAAAAGAATACTCTTCCAACCTTCAACAGTCATGGTTCCGTTTACCGATGGAGAATATGCTGCTAGCAGCGGCAATTAGATGGATAACTTATTTTCAGATCACGCGAAATGGTTGGATGCGGTTTCAAAGTTGCAGTCTTCCTGTAACATTTTCATGCATGATGCTGTGCGAGGACGAGAGGTTGAACCATGCGTTTGAACTGCATTTCCATATGCTGAAACAGATGCAGAGAGTCACGCAAGGCTCCTGTAGGAAGTGATTAACATTCTACTACATCTGGACTGTCGATTCCTATGACGGACAGAGATTATACTTGCGTATTTCTTTCGCCCTCTGTGTTGGCCCGGGAGCGATATCGCAAGTCACAGGCCGGTCAAATGCTGGGCATTTACTATTAGATGTCGACAACCAGAGTGCAGTGCATCCGTTTATGTTTGAAATCTAACATATATGAAATCTGATTAATACCATGAGTCTGAGGTCCCCTTTATTACTGGAGGTACAAAATGTAAGAACACCCTGATCTGTAGTAGTAGAAAGCAATGACTGCCGAAAAGATTAAACTTCTATACCTGTCAGGCAATGGACCTAGGGCTGCTACCGAACCCACGAAGTTTTTGAAAATTAACTTCTCGAGCTCCCAGTGAAAATGCTCTTGGTAGGAACAAGGGAAAACTCTCGATCTGTATAAAATCTCGATAATTATGACATTATATTCGATAAGATCGATCATGGTACCAAAGAGCTCATACACACAAAGATATCTACCTAGATTGATATTCATGCAAAACTGAGAGCAAAGTAAGTTCAAAATGGTAACAAGGTCTTGATTTCGTTAGTGGAGATTGGGTCGAGCATAATCAAAGCACTCTGATTTTGTTGATTGAACATCCCCTTCAAAAGTTGACTCATCAGTCAGTTTATATTAAGTAAAAAAGAATCTGAATGGAATCATCCCCATCCAGAAAACGATTTTGATACCAAATTTTGAATGTGAACGGTCATTTATGCATACAAATCCGACGAAGTATGAGCATATAAAATGACCTGGCACTATAAAGACTATTCAAATTAGAAATAATGAGATTTTTTATCAAGATTTTGTCACACAAAATGTGAGTCGACAAAACGTCCTCAAAGAATTTTAAGAAATCAACGCTGCAGTACATTTGGTGTCAATACGTTCCTGATAGTTGGTTAAAGAGATTTGGCTTTCTGAATGGAGACCAATAAATCTGATCCTCGGGCTTCAGTAGACAGGGTTTATCTGCATAATATGATCAAAATCTGCATGAGTATGAACACGAGTACTCGTATAACAGAGATATTTATGTTCGAGAGCCAAAGTAGTTGAAGACGTGTGCCTGCAGCTAGAAGGCATGTATGAGTTTGCATTCTGTGACTTCTGTTATGTCTATCAGAGGGAAACAAAGCTGGATCAACTGTTTACTTCTAAATGTCAAGATTTAAAAATTCTTACACCTTCTGCAAGATAGTTCACATGAAGCAAAATGCTCCCTTCCAAGATAATTAACATCTTCTATTACAGAACTAAATTTCTAATCAACTATACACTATTGTCAAGCGTACGTATCGTATATCACACTCGTCGAAACTGTTTCCATCCTAAAGACTTTTCTGCCGATATCACGGGATCTAGAAATTGTCCCCGATACGAAATCGAAGTGACAACGAGACTCAGCTCAGATCAGAATGGCTGAGCCTACTTGCTGTAGTCTCTGTATGACTTTTCATAATATTCAATTTGAGAATCAATGTAACTGAATTGAAATGCAAGACATACAGTTTTTTGCTATCCAAGTTTTCGAAAATCGGTATTCATGTTTACGATAGCACAAAAAACGAAACCCTGCCGAGAGATACTCTGCTCCCTCCTTCTAGCCCCCTTCATCGCATATAGCTATACTCATTGACACTTACTGGTGATAGTTGGGTATACTGTGTATTTCCAGAACCTTTGCACATAAGAAGCTTGGGAAATGGTGTTGGGAACAATGAATCAAATTGTACGTTAGCGCCCCCTGGAACATTGATATCTAAGAAGCGCACTTGGACTGATGTCATGAATAAGAAAATCTATTCAAATATGTAGAGAGTTACATTTGAGCTTGTCGTAAGTGCCATTGACTCGTCGGGATGCCACTTCGATATTTATGTCGCTGTGGAGATCCTGCAGCTGAGAGTAGATTCATCCTAAAATTATCATGTCTGTCAGGACAATCGAGTAGTGCTATTATGAGAGTGCCGAATAGTTGAAAATGTCGATAGCTACCCAGACTGAAGTGCCCGAAGCTCCAATAAGGAAGATTCGCCTCAATTCACAGGACACAAGAGCCGTGGGTGAGAGTGGTTGTAGTATTGAGACTCTTAAAAGTGACGTTCTTGCTCGTTACTGCAGATTGTTGCCGTACAGGTCTTGAGTTGTAATTGCAGGCTCTTTGTTCTTTTGTATCAGCCTATGGCAACTTCGCTTCATTTCGCATGCTTCTGCAGGTAATACTTCATATGTAATTTCAAAGAACCTGTCGCTATCCCAATAACAGAATTCAAGAGGAAGTGTGAAAGTACTTCACGTCGCTGAAGAAGGAGAAGTGTAGGACGTTGCTGGTACCAGGAGTGGCCAAGAAACCGAATGATTCTTCACATTGTTGGGGCCTTCCTCGAGTAACTCATGAATTGATCGATGATCATGGATTTACACGAAGAAACAATCACAAGACAAGCAAAGACGTCGACCTCAATAATGAGTACGATCTGCAGAAACGAACTGCAGAAAGCGACGTTCACCTTAATCTGATTTGTTTCTCCTCAATGCGCATCATATTCCTGCTCTTTCGTGTCCACGTTCCTTCCCATTAGGTGTCATGTAGTTGGCTGGCACATGTGAGTAGCACCATCTCGATCTCAATTTCGTTGTACCCTTGCATGTTAAGCCCATGGGGGTTGTCAAGTAGAGGTTTGTCTTCAGTGACTAGGACTGCGAAAGAATCTTGTGCTTCCTGAGGAACAGAAAAATGTCAACAAATTACGTGAGAATGATTCCCAACCGTCCCAAGTCCGTATCAGTATCAACACGGGAGCCTACAAATCCTTCCCAGCCGTTAGAATCAGATCGAAACTCAGCATTACGCTCAACGACATCTAGACTTTAACTTAAATTCCTGCATGGTCATTATATAGACCCGTTCGTCTCCTCAGCACTTTCATAATCAACATCATTTTCTGCACAAAGGTGAGAATATAAATATTAACTAGGAAAATCACGAAAAATGACTCCTATTATTAGATTGTCGGTATTGTCGTTCGAACCAGGATTCCAAATCAAAAGTGGGAAATCAGCTCGTAGAACATGATGGGAGTATGCAGAACCTTCGAGTGCATGCACACGCTCGATCAGTTGTGTTTGTGATGGTGATGGGCTACTCAGGACTCGTGTCCACAACGGATCTTCCCCAATCCGCTGTGGGGACCCTGACCATCCAATCGATCGTTGTTGGCTTCCTAATACTACACGCCATTCCAGGAAGCCGAGTGTGGATGATCGACTACCATTGCAGTGCTGACTGCGACCAGCCGCCGAGACTCACTCACTCGCTGACAGGAGGGAGCTCGCAACGTTCTCCATCTCAGTCCCCCTCGTGGCCCACCTGGTCTCTATATTCTCTTTCTTCCTTTTGAAGTTGGAGACGTTGAGAAATACGATGTTTAGAGCAGAAGTTGGAACTCTTCTCTCGTACGAGTATCAGGTCTTTCTCACAAGAAGCTGGATGGACAACGATCAACTATTTTCTCAATGGTCCAGCAGCCCCACGTCCATCCACAGAACTATCTTACAGCTATTACGTGATAATTGAGAGTACGACTTTCATTGCTAAGTACAAACCATCTCTTCTCACATATTTCCGGAAACGATTCGACAAAGCGAATTTTCCTGAAAATTAGGGAAGCCTAATAGTCTCAATGGTAGCATACCCACTAGCCTTGGCGAGGTTCATGTCCTTGAGTCACTAGACCTTTCGACAATTGTCTACGACGATACATTGCAGTCAAAGGATGGAACTTAACAAAGCTGAGTTCTTTAGAAGTGAGAGCTTTAATAGGAAGAATTTCTACTTTCAAGCAGCCAGAGACTCAACGCACAGACAAGTACGTGCGAGATCCTGCACATTGCGGCCTGACGTTGAATAAAATTCCCCAAATAGATAGTGAGTTTCGATGTGTTACGCTAGAAGCGAGTGAATTTGGGCATGCTTGAAGTCCTAACCCAGTGGGGGAGTAGTGCTCAATTGCGGTTTACATGGTCATGAAGGAGTTTCACATTTTCAGCTGAATCAACAGAGATCCACGTAAGATGATCCAAACGAGCGATTTAAGGAAACGTTACTGGAGAAAACAGCGAGCCGTTCTTGAAGTTCATAAATAATCATCGACATGCATATTATATAAATTTTTGATTGAACCTGTCAAGGTTGTAACGATTTTCCTAGCAAACCCAACGCCTCTCGCTTCTTCATTTTTATTTCTTCATATATTTATGTAGAAATATCAGTATATTTATCAATAGATCATGTAATTTGTCTTAGGAAATTGAAAACAATGTTGCCTGCTTTTCTATATCTCCATAGTTTGGAGTTTTTCGTTTACATTCAGTGACAGACTTCATATGATGTCAAGCGTGTACATCAAACCTTGTCCATAGGACATCTTCTTGGTTTGTATCACGTTCTGGATTTGACTGTGAGAGTTTAAACATAGTCTTACTCCCATAGAGTGAATGTCACTAGTGGATACTAGTGACATTCGCTATTACTTCGTACCAATGTCATGAATTTGCTACTCATGTCTGCATTTCATGCTACTCATATCTGGTACTCATGTCTGCATTAAGCATGCAGACATGTTATAAGAGCGATAGCTCTGGGTTCCAATGGATGTTTCAACTATGACCCGGGTTTTAGCAACAGGTCTCCATGCTTTAGCTCCGAGCGAGATCCTGCATTTCAGAGGGTTAATTTCTGAGAGCTGAGGAGACCCAAGGACACATCAAAAGATTATGGCTCATGACAACACAATTCACTAAGAATCTCAAGTCAGACCACAAAAGGTATATCGGAAAGCGGGTAAGGGGTCTTCACTTACTCATAAGCAGCCTCTCCTACGGTAGTAGTCGTTCACTGTCATCATCCAAGGGTGCTGTTCACCATCATCACTGTTGTCTTTGGGCACACTGTAAGCAGCCTCGAGCTTCTGCTTCCGGGCCATATATGCACGAGGCGCTGGCTGCTGGAGAGGAGCAAGAGAAACTTTGAGGTCAAAGTTGTGGAGTTCATGCAGTGTAGGTTCGGCGACACCAGAACGCGCTCCCTTGGACAATCCAGGCACTTTTAGGAAGGTAGCGTCAGGCCTAAACTCTCCTGCAGCGTCCTCAGCTCCATCAGCTATGGATTCGTCCTTGGGACCATCTTTCCTGTAATAGTTTTTTGAGCGCATGAATCGCCGAGAGAAGGAATCATATCCTTCTTTTCCGGGCTTGGCATGCCCATTAACAGGTCTCAACTCGTATGCATTCTTGAGATTTTCGATTTTGTTCTTCCGATTCATTTCTTCCAAGGCTAAGGCCTTGGTATATCTAGTGTTTATCTCCGTTGACAACTCCTCCAGCTCCCGCAGCCTTGCCTGCAGTCTATTTATCTCGCCATCATTCCCCTCGCTCTCCGCTGCAGCTAATTCCCCTACTATACGAATTTTCTCGAGAGCAAAATTCGAAGGACGGGCCTTTGAGCTTCGCTTCTCCTGAATCATCTGCTTCACACAAGCAGGCGAGTAGACGAACGAGCTAATCTTTGCAAGAGCCTCTTTCTTCTCTCGGACGTCAGCCTTGGAGGGCTTCTTACCACCGCACCGATCGATCTCCCGAAGGAGTTCCAAAACTTCTCTTTGGGTTGGTGGCTGATCAGAAGCTCTCGCCATCTGCCAACGAGCGGCGGTCCTCTCGTCGCCCCAAACCAGATTCAAATACTTGTGGGTAGTTTGGTTCTCAAACATGTACCGCTTCTCAATTGCTGTCGCATCCACGTTCTTCACCGAGCAAAGTCGGTAGAATCTTTGACCCGATCTCGAAACACCGATTCCTATTCGTACGAAGCATCCGACGATGACATCTTCGAAAAAGGGCTCCATGAACCACTTGTACAGTCTCGAGCGTTGAACGGTGATGCTCTTTATGTCCTGCCAGTCGGCATCTGGTTCGCTTTTCCGAACGACGTCGTCGTTGTGGTCCGAGCCCACAATTCTCTGGTCGTCATCGTCATCGTCCGTGCTACTGTCGCTGTCATCATCGATGAAGTTCGAGTCTAAGTAGCTTCTATTCCGGGTCTGTCTCATCGAAGAGCATCCTTGTACCTCAGGAACTTCTCGATATCTCTTTCGGAGCTTGCAGTCATGAGCTTGCAGTCTCCTTTGCACGAGCTCGCGCAGCGCATTGAACTTAGATGTTTTTGAAGTGTCTCTACACTCCCTCGAGGAAGATCGAATTCGAGAAGACGGCGGGCCCAGGTCTCCCTCCCTTGAATTCGAGGCTGTATTTCCCACTTGTCTGAGATGAGCACGAGCATCTTTTCTCGCGAGAATGCTGTCCCTAGCCTCAGCTCGTTCATACAGAATCATTTCCCGATCCAGTTCATCGATTTCAGCCAGGCGAGCTCTGTCTTCGTCATCTTCGTATAGATCACTGCCGAGACATGTGTCACTATCATATGCATCTCGTCCCGTCCTCGCCCAAAAATCGAACCACTTCTTGACTGGCATTGTGGACCCGTGGGGCTTGGTACTGCGTCTCCCTCTCTGATCAACATCATCGAAGTCCTTATCTGATTTCCCACTGGTGTTTGGCAGAAGTCGTCGACTCTTTGGAGGTTGATCGAGGACCCGACGTCGAAAATCCCCATGGCCACCTTTCGAACGACCAGCTGCTTCAAGCAGCATGTCTTCGAGTGAGTCGGCCATTCTCCTCTACGTGCAAAATTCAAATTCGAGATGCTAGTATTCTTCACTGTCCTAACATTCTAGGCAACTGACTCGAAGCATCTATTTCCCTGAATAACCTCGGAGCATGAAGTAATCCCCACTTCTCAACGTCGGAAGCCTTGAATAACAGAATTCAGAATCAGCCAATCACGCAGCCAAGTGCAAGGCGAACCTTCTTGCCCACAGTACCGACAAGGCTCAGTGGCCGCCTTAATGTGCAGAGGGAGGAGAGGCGAGCGATGCCGTATTTTGTTTTCAATTCTCAAGCGGCGTTTAATCGATCACTCATTTCTCAGATTCCGTGCTTGAAATAAGTTCTACCTTGCTTCCCAGGGTCCAAACGTCATTCAATTTTGCACGTCTCATTTCCAACAGCATCATCTCTTACCTATTTGTATACTAAATGTAACGGTTTATTTTTTAGCAGTTTATTTTTTTAAGTTATGATTTAGAAGAGTTCATACTAAATTAAGAATATTTGAATGCATCTCTCAAATCTTAAGTAGCATCAACGAGCAACTTAGAATACGAAGGAAGACTGCACTCACAAAAAATTGAAAATGGAAATAGACTTAAATTAAGCAAATCCTAGCAATATTTGACCCCAGTAAATGGTGAACTCGCCGCATAGTCAGGAGCGGCAACAGAGATTGGACCCAAGTATCTCGAGTAATGAGCACCGTCCTTTTGTTTTGAATGGTTATAGGATAAAGAGTATTATTAGTATAACTGAAGTATCTCCAGCCCCGCTCTGAAGTTTTGGGCTCTTAAGTTGGGGGTATTAGCTTTCGGGCTCCATCGCATTGTCATCTACAACGCAATATGTTCGTATTTGTATATACGATAAACATGTTAGCAAATTTCAGATCATCAAAATGGCGATGTAGATGCTAATAAGTCTTCCGATCATAAACATAAGACCATCCAGAATCAGAAACTCGCATGAAAGAGGTTCAGATCGAAATACTTAGAATCTTTAGAACATGAAATGTCTTTTCAATATACAAATTTTTTTGTAAAATTTATTTATTTGATATGAAATTTAAATTTAATATTAAATCTATTAAAATCAAACACTCCTTGTATTTGAGTTTTATTACCAGTTTTTTATACGCATCATAAATATAAAACTTTAGTATTGTAGAGTAAGTTTTACAATATAGGACAAATTTGTGACAAGGAAATATCTTTGACTAAATTCTTAGAAAAGACACTAGATTATATTCAATCTAGATGAAAAAGTTTTTAACTCTTTTGATGACTTTCAACTTGTTCAAAATTAATACAATAGTTGAGCGTATCCAGTATTTCAGCTTGTAGTATTTTTTTGGTTGCTAAATGAGACAGAAGAATAGTATAGCTTCATCAATTTTGCAAAACAGTAAATGAAAAGTTATGATACTTTCTTGCATGCTCACATCCATAATCTGTGAATAACTTTTTGTTTAAACAAATCAACTTTTTTTTAATCACAACTGCTTTTGATCTTTTTGGAATTGTTGTGGCTCAAAACAAATCTAATGCTTATTGTATTGCATAGTTTGTGTTGCTCTATTTCTTTATCCACATTGAGTTTCAAATATTTCTAATTTTTTTGCAAGGATTTCAATAGTTATAAATTTTTCTAGTTAAACTGTAAATTTATTTCTCTAATTTTGATTGAAAAATTTCATTCATTTCAATAACTCTATCACTCATATTATAAATCAAATGTGAAATAAAGTAAATAGACTTATGAGTTGTTTTAGCACATAACTCTATTTGTATCTAATACTCGATCATGAAGTAGTAAGTCATCTTTTACATCATTTTCATAAATGATGTAAAAAATGAGTTCATTCATTCGGATATGACACTGTTAGATGATACATTTCAAGAGCTAGTTTTGAAGATATATATGTTATTAAAAATTTTTTTTAAACACAATTTTGTTGAAATGTGGTACCCCACTTTTGGGATTTTTGCGGAATTTAAAACATTTTTGGAAAACTGTACCACGGCAGCAGTGTAAATAGCCATCGTTGCATCAAAATAGAGTGAAACTGGATGATCTCGGAGAATCTCAAAGAATCTCGTAGAATCCAAGAGTTGGGCGCAACGTCTGGGACAGGCGCCGCCCTAAACGACGGGCTCTGAAGTACCCCTTCGGCGCAAGGCGCCTAAGCCGCCTTCGGCGCTAGAGAAATCTCTCAGAATCTGATCAATTCCCAAACGCCTTGACTTGGTTAGGGTTTCGTTGGAAAGAGCTTGACGCGCTGATTCTAACGAGCCCAAGAACGCCTGGAACGGATGAGGACTCAAGGAGTTGTGACGGTCGAAAGATACGAAGATCTTCGCCTACGCATAGGCGAGGGAAGTTCGCCTACGCATAGGCGAAATAGGGTTTGACGTCGGCGGGATGTCCGCCGAGAATGCCGCCTCCGCATAGGCGGAGAGGACTTGCACCTACGCATAGACGAACGGGAATCGCCTACGCATAGGCGCTTCGGCGTCGGCGGGAAGTCCGCCTTCGGCCCTAGAAATCCGCCTTCGGGGTTGGAACTTGTACGGCGCCTTCGGCGCCAGCGCATCACGGACGGGCGAGGACCCAACGGAGTAGCAAAATCCGTACGGACCGTACGGACGGAACGGACGAGTGCGCCTTCGGTCGGTCGGGATTACGGAGACAAGAGCGCCGACGGAGATGCAAGAGAAATGGACAGACTGGACGGAGTCCACTGATTGCGGTCAACGCCCTCGGCACAGCCGCCTTCGGCGCTGCGCCTGCGGCAAGGGACCTGCGCGGACGGAATTCGCCTACGCATAGGCGAGCGCCTACGCACAGGCAGATGAAGTTCTGCGCCGGCGGAAACTCCGCCGGGTATACCGCCTACGCAGAAGGAAGCTCGACTTTTGTTCTATGCGCGGACGAACGTCTTCGGCGGAGCGGGACTAGCCAAATTGAAGTACGAAGGAGTGTAGCGCGCCGGCGAGAAATCCGCCTTCGGCGCTGCGCGCCCATGTCTGCGGCGTGATACGCTGGCGGAGTTCAAATTACCAATTCGAGCGTGTGAGTGTGTGGTACCCCACTTTTGGCAATTTTGAGGAAATTAAAACATTTTTGGAAAACTGTACCCTGGCAGCATTGTAAATAGCCTTCGGTACATCAAAACAGAGTGAATCCGGAAGATCGCGGGGATTCTCGAGGGATCTTGTAGAATCTGGGATTTGGGGTGCCGCAGCAAGCACAGGCACCACCCTCCCTGCGAGCTCCGCAGTTAGGATCTCTACGGCGCAAGGCGCAAAACCCGCCTTCGGAGGTTGCGTCCGCGGCTGTAGGGAAACCCCCGTAATTAGGTCAACCCTCGGGCGCCTTGACCAAGTTAGGATCCCGTTGGAAAGAGCTCGACGCGCTGATTCTAACGAGCCCAAGAACGCTTGGAACGGACGAGGACTTAGGGAGTTATCGCTACTGGAAGAAACGGAGGCGGTCGCCTACGGCGGAAGGAGTTCGCCACCGGCGCGAATTCCGCCTACGCGGAAGGCGGAATCAAGTTTTGTCCTATGCGCGGACGAAGGCGTTCGCCTGTGCACAGGCGAAGTAGGGTTAGGGAAGGCGCGAAGTCCGCCTACGCACAGGCGTTCGCCTGCGCACAGGCACTTCGGCGTCGGCGGAAAATCCGCCTTGGGCCCTAGAAATGCGCCTTGTGAGGTAGAAAGTGTACGGCGCCTTCCGCGCCAGCGCAGCGCAGCGTACGTCGGAGGAGCCGCCAGAGTAATCCAATAGGTACGGACCGTGCGGACGGCACGGGTGGATGCGCTCTTGGACGGACGGAGTTGCGGCGGCGGAAGCGCCGACGGAGAGACAAGGAACGGACAGACTGGACGGAGACGGCTGACCACGGTCAACGCCTTCCGCGCCAGCGCAGCGCCGCGGACGGAATTCGCCTGCGCACAGGCGAACGCCTGTGCACAGGAGGATGTTCAAGTTCCGCGCCGGCGGAGAATCCGCCGAGGCCCCTGCCTGCGCACAGGCAGGAGTTGAATTTTTGTCCGACATGCGGACGCACGCGTCAAGGCAGAAGGAGATTGGCCGAAGGGCGGTACGAACAAGTGTACCGCGCAAGGCGGAAAACTCGCCTTCGGCGCTACGCCCCCATGTCCGCAGGGTGACACGCTCGCGGAGTTCAAATCCGCCAATTCGAGCGTGAGAGTTTAATCGACGACGGCGGAGCGTGAAGCCGCGCGTGAGAGCGAAGACCGTTCCAGCGTACAGCCGGCGCGGCCATCAAGTGAGACGTTCTTCACGACCAAGAGACGACCATGACCTTCGACCGGGCGGCGGAGAGCGTCCCATTCTTGAATTCGCGATTCCAATCTCTTGTGCGCGCTGCGCGCATCCATCTGCTGGCTGCGGACCATTCCCGACGTCGTCACACAGGAGATTTCTTGTTGATTGAGGGAGAAGTGAGTGCGCGTGATTTGGAATTGAGAGCGATTAGAGTTTGCCGAGAGAGAAAGAAACGCGGACAGTGCGGAAGTAGAATGAGCGGGCGAGCGAACCCCAGGAACGCAATGACGAGACCGAGCAGATTGCGGATGGTGCCACTTCGCCTGCCGCAGAACGGGCTGCGCGCTTTCGAAGAGCGCTTAATAGCAAGAAAGCTCGATTTCTTGCTATGGGGATGGAATTACATCTGCGCGAATATGGTGCGCGAGTGGCTAGAGCCACAGGGACCACCCTCGCGCGGATTGCGTCCGCATGTTGATCGGTGGACAGTCCAAGATTGGGCGCAGGCGTTGGGAAGATGTGCTGGCATGCCAGGGCATCTCCTTTTCGACAGCGAGAGCATCAAGGTGACCAAGCAAGAAGAGGCGCAATTTGTGGAGCTGTTCAAGACCGGGAGGTCTACCAAGAATGGGTACAGGACCCGTGATTACAAAGATCGATTTCGCCGGACTCTGTCCGCGGCGCTGATGCAATTACTGCAGCCGCACCGCGCCTGCTACATCACATTGTGGCAGGTCTCTTTTGTGGAGTGCGTCATCGAGGGAACTCCAATTCACTGGGCGAGCATCCTGCACAGGGTGATGCGACAGCATGCGTTTGAGGAGAAGGGGGGAACTCTAAACCATCTTTCTCCTTTCCTCATCAATTTTTATCGACAGCGGAATTGTTTGACAGCGGCGGAGCTTGAACATTTTCCGCCATTGTCCATCGACCATCCCGGGAAGTATGTGCGGGAGA